GTGGCGGCTGCAGGGCTGTCACAACCATGTGGATATGGGGCACCTGGTCTGGGGCTCAGCTGTCCCCTTGCAGGCTCAGCCCTTCCTCTGAGGACCTCACATCCTGACCCGCTGCCCCCCACCCCCACCCCCAAGGCCAAGGAGCAAGAAGAGCCTCTTCTCTCACGGAGGCCAACACCCAGGTGGCTGGCTCACCCAGCCCTGCTCCTTGGGGTCCCCAGGGAACTGGGAAGCACCAACCACATCCCCCCTCCTCCCCAGGACCTGTGCAGGGTACCAAGCTGTTCTGTGGACAAAAATGGGACACGTACCAAACCCGACAAGCTCGGGGAAGGCCGGCTACAAACTCAGAGACGGAAAGTGACCACCCAGGAAGGTCTGAGCATGAACCTTCACAGCGGGTACTTCATCCAGGCCCCCAGCTTCCATGCCAGAGGCCAGTGTCCACCTCAGGCCTGTCTGCCGTCTTTTTGCTCTAAGACAACATTCCTTTGGAATGTCAGGGCCCCCTCCTTTTCCTGACCCCTCAGGGCACCCCCACACCAGAGCCGCTCATTGTCATCTTGTTCCCCCACAGGCCGCTAGGTGCTGTGAGTGTGAATGTTTAAGCCCTTGCCCACAGTGTGAAAGCGGTGTCTGCTGTGCTTCCCCCAGTCCCAGGGCTTCCCGCTGGGTTCTCTCCCGCCCGGTAATCTACCACCAGTGGGTTTCATATGACCCACCGGCTTCCATTCTCACGTACAGAGCAAGCTGCAAGCTGGCGTTCTCCAGAGCATTTTCTCAATGTGCTAAGCTTTTCCTTCCTGGCTATTGTCAGGTTGGCTCAAACTCATCATGATTCTCTACACGGTGACATGTTCAACCTTCTTGCAAAGGGTATTTTCTGGGTCTGGCCCAGGGCCTGGCCCCGGGGCTCGCACCCCGGCATGAGGGGCAAATGCGGGGCAGGAGCCTGGCCCTGGCAGCAGGCGGGGCCTGGCCTGGGCGCCCTGCCTGAGCGCAGGAGGCCCGCCCGCCCGCCTGTTCCTGGTTCCTGCCGAGGAGGGAGGGTTGTGCCCTCCCCTCCCAGGAGCAGGGGAAGCACTCGGCGGAGGAAGCTGTGCAGCGTTTCCTTCCTTTCTCACCAGCCCCTGCGGAGGCCTTGAGGACCTGGGCTTGGCGGTGGGAACTGCAGCTTTGGGTTGTGGGAAGGAGACCCCGCAGGCCTGCGGGGACCCCCAGGAGCCACTTAGGACCAAGGCTGGGACCCTGCTTGGGAATTCCCCAGCCGAGGTACCCTGTGCGCACCCACTCGCTCTCTGCACACACCGGGCCACCCACACAAAGGCTGAGCGAGCCCCGCAAGACAGCCCTGAGCAGCCCAGAGCCGCCGCCGCCCCACCCCCCCCACACGGGACTAAGGGAGTGCCGACCCTCCCACAGCCCCGGGCAGGGGAGGAAGAGGAGCGAATCCTACTTCCTCCCATCCACATGGCCTTGGGCTCCCCAAGCCTCCCCTGTGCCTCCTAGACCTGAGCAGACCTGGGGGCAGAACAGGAATGGGGCCTCGAGGGTCCATCTTGGGGCCAGCCCTTCCCTCCTGAGGGTCAGTGTGCACTCGCTTACTCTCACCTTCCTGCCTCTTCCTAATGAAATTTGCGTTTGGGAACCTGTCCAGTAAACGCATTGACCTTGAAGAGTCAGGGCTGTGCCGGCGTCCCAGGCAGACCCATTCTGAAGGCAGCACCGTGGTGGCTCTCAGACAGCCAGATGGCAGACTGGGGAGATGTGAGTTGGGCCTTCTCACTCTCCAAATCCATGTAGATCCTTCAATCGGGTTGGGGGGCTGTCAGTGGGGGAGTAGGCACAACTGAGGGCCAGGGCTGCCTGTGAGCACTCCAGAAACCAGAGCATGAACTTGGGAATCAGACTCAGGTCCTGGTTCAGGCTCTCCTGAGCTGTGTGATCTTGGGCCAGCTGCTCAGCCTCTCTGAGCCTCAGGTGCCTCCTCTGTAACTGGTGCTATTGGGAGGATGAACTGAGGTAACACTTGGCAAGCTGCCCGGCCAGTCAGCAGCACCTGGTGCGGACGGTGGGGCACCCTCGGAAGAACCCACGGACCTGGTCCCTCACCCAGCGGGAGGATCCCTGGCCCTGGATAAGTAAAACGCAAGCAAACAGTGTCCTGGTCCAGTGGTGAGACCACTGGGCCATCCCCAGGGACCACGCCTTCCGCTCTGCAGATGCAGCAGGCACCCTTTGGGATCGCTCGTTCTCAGAGCCACGCCAACACCCTGCCATCCCTGGCACTCAGATCAAAATCCAGTCCCCAGGAGGGTCTGTCCTTCATGGCTTATGGCCAGCCTCACCTCAGCTCAGCTTTCGGAACTGGCTTACTTCGAACAGGAGCCACTGCCAGGCCAGCTGGAAAATTCGGAACCACAGCCCCTCAGCACCCCATGCTGGCCGGTTGATGGCAAAGAGTGCTCCAGGCTTTCCCAGCCCTCAGGCCCATTCCCTGCCACAGGTCAGACAGGGGATTTCCTGGGGTGCCCAGTCCGGGCACGGGGGTGGGGGGTGGCCTCTTGAAGGGGATCCTGGCACCTCATTCAGCCTCACAACTGCCCAGCCTATAGATCACATGAGCCCATTTCACAGGTGAGTCACTGAGGTCCGGAGAGCCCGCTCTGGCTGAGCGGGGCCCAGGGCCTCCCCCGAGCCCAGGCCCCTCCTTACCTTCCTTCGCTGCCGATGCCCTCAGGCTCTGACATCCAGACCCCAGGCAGCCCGGGGCTGTGTGGGTCAGAGAACCTGGGACCAGGGGCCTGGGCCGAGGCCCCCAGCAGCCCCCAGCCCAGGGCCCCCCCGAGGCTGAGCACCAGTGTCAGGATCATCTTGACAGTGGGCAGGCTCAGCCGTTGCCGGTGATTCCAGAAACTGCTTCAAGTGAAGGCTCAGAAGGAAGAGAAGGCTGGGACAACAAAGAAAGGAAGTGGCCTAGGCCGGCCCACCGGTGCATCTGGTCCAGCCACACACACACACACACACACACACACACACACACACACTCCCCAGCCCCGCCAGAGGCAGTCAACAGCTCAGCTGGTTCCCGGCCTGAGAGGGCTTGTGTCAGGGACCCTGAGGTTTGGGAGGCCCACGCGTGGTAGACAGTTACAGACAGGAGCAGAGCAAGGACGATGGGCCAGGTACAGGTCACCAGGCGGGAACTCTGGGTGCCAGCAAAGGACAAATGTAGGGGGACTCGCCCCAGGGTGACCTGTCCTCCCCTGGCAGGCGGTGACCTGTCCTCGCTGGAGGTAACACCCAGGTCTCAGTTGTGTTTCAGCTCCAGGCCCAGAGAGGCAGCAAAACCAGACAAGTGACAGCAAGGCTGCCCTCAGGACCAGCTGGATAGTGACCCATCAGTGGAGACCTAGGCTGAAAGGACACGTCTGGAAAGCTGCTGGATCTTCTATTGAGACATTCCCCCTTGAGACCTTCCCTACAGGTGGGGAGAGGCTCTGAGGGCCACAGGGTGTCACCAGAGGCCAGGGCATGGGCAAGCCTTCGCGGGCCCCATCCCAGCTCCTCCACGTCCTGTGCACAGCGGGACGGCTCCCTGAGTGGCTGAGCAGCCCCGGCCAGTCTGGAAGGTTGGCCACTCTTGCCTGACAGGCCTGGGTGGCTCTGACCCCTACCCACCTGGGTGCTGGGAGCACAGGCTCCTCCCTCGTGGCCCAGGTGTCACAGGCACAGCAGCCCGGCCCGGGGGCACCTGCCAGGGCGGCCCCGCAGGCAGTGATGGCTAAGGATGCATCCAGGCCGCTGCAGCCCCTGGTATAAAATAAGAGGCGGCGGCAGCGGGGACAGCGGCTGCGGCAGCACTGCCAGCTCCAGCACAGCCTGCAGCAGAGCTGGCTGTTCCTGCCACCATGGACGTCTTCAAAAAGGGCTTCTCCATCGCCAAGGAGGGCGTGGTGGGTGCCGTGGAGAAGACCAAGCAGGGGGTGACGGAAGCGGCTGAGAAGACCAAGGAGGGTGTCATGTATGTGGGTGAGTTTGGGCGGAGCAGCTCGGGGGCTGGAACCTGGGATGCCCGGTTACTGAGAGGATGAGGACCTGGCTGTCACACCAGGTCTCCGGGCCCTGAAGCATCCCCTCTCCTGCCACCCCAGGGTCCATTTGGTCTTCCTTGGGGCTCCAGGAGCCTCTGGGTCAGGACAGCAAGACGGGTGCACAGCTCTGAGACACACCTGTTTGTGCGCACGTGCACGGACACAAGCCCCTGCTCCCCATCGCACGGGCCCTTGGACTCGGGAAGAAGCCACACGGAGCCCGAGACCCTGCCACAGGCCTCCATCTCCTCAGGGGAAGGGGTGGGACTGAGGAGCAAAGACCCAGCCCCCCTCTCCTCGCTCCACGGAAGAGGAGGCAGAGCTGATGACTCAGCTCCGGTCAGCAGCCGGTCCTGCTGCAGCTTCCCAGGCCCAGGCCACACCCAGACAGGGCCCAGACACCCCTCAGGCCTGGTCCCTCTCATCCGCCATCCAGTCCTGTCCACTCCCATCTGACCCCTCCCCCAGACACAGCAGGAAGCAGCCTTTAAAGGGACTGCTGGTCTCCAGACACCGTCCTTCCCACTACTGACCCCACAGCTTGTCCAGCTGTTCTGTTGCCCTGACAGCTGCACCAACACTAGGAGGAGTGGGTCTGGGCTGATGCCTCCATTTCCTCTCCAGGAGCCAAGACCAAGGAGGGTGTCGTGCAGAGCGTGACCTCAGGTGAGGAGCCCCAGGACTAGGGGATGACGGGGCTGGGACCTCCAGGGACTTCTGCAGCCTGGTACTAAAGGCCCAAGCTCAGGGTCCTCCTTACTCCCAACTGGGGTCCTGAGCTGTACAGACCCAGACCCCTCAGAACCCAGGGCTGGCCTCCCAGTCACCAGAGCCCCCCTGGCACCGGGAAGGGGCAGCCTCCGCTCTTGGGTAGAACCAGAGCCCTGAGTGCCCTGGGAAAGGGGTGCTCAGGCCTGCCTGGGGCAGGCTGCCCTGGTGGGAGGGGTAAGGGCCAACGCCAGCCAGAGTCCTCCCACAGTGGCTGAGAAGACCAAGGAGCAGGCCAATGCTGTGAGTGAAGCGGTGGTCAGCAGCGTCAACACCGTGGCCACCAAGACTGTGGAGGAGGCGGAGAACATCGCGGTCACCTCGGGAGTGGTGCGCAAGGTGAGGCCTGGCCCAGCTCTGGTCCTCAGGGCCCCGTCCTCTCCTCTGGGCCCCAGAGAGGCCAGCTGGGGGGAGACATGATCACCCACGACATTCAGGGAACCAGAGGCCTAGGGCAAGGGTGTCTGCACAGACTCATGGGGAATCCTCACACCACCCCTGTGAGGGGGCAGTGGGAGGCCCAAAGGGAAAGGAGTCTCGAAGCCACGCCCTCTGAGTGGTGCCGGCCTTCAGGGTGAACCACGTTTGACCAGTGACCGCAGGGCCTGTGGCCCCAGGAGGTGACAGGCAGCCAGTGGCCAGGCTCTCCTGGCCCCTGCGGGCAGCCCCTCCCTCCTCCTCCTCCAGGAGCTGGGAAGCAGCACCCCCTGGTGGTGGAGACTGAGTTTGAACCCGCCCTCCTCTGCCTTTGTGTGCTGTTGAATGTGCCCCAGAGAGTGTGTGTGTCTGTGTGCTGCCCCGGCAGAGCGCACCGGAACACGGGCACTCCCCGAGGCGGGGCTGGCGGGTGAAACATCCCACCCACCCGGGCAGGCTCTGCTCGAAGCATCTGACTCACATTCACTCCTTCAGCCGGCACAAAGCGCCATGCAGGTGTGCAGTGAGGCCGAGAGGCTGTGCCGTGCCCACGCCCCATGGCTAGTCTGGGTGAGCCTGCAGGCCCAGGGCCGCCGGCTCCAAGCCTGTGCTCTGGCAGACAGCGGCGGAGAGTGGCAGGAGCAGGATCCGTTGGGGGCAGGAGGTGCTCCCTGCAGAGCGTGTCCCATCCTCTGCAAAGCTCCCTCCCGGGGCAGGCTGCAGGGCCGGCTCCCAGCCCTGCTCTGGGAGGGGTGTGCAGGGGCTCAGGCCTTGCAGAGACAGCCCCCTCTCCAGGTCCCAGCTCTGCCACGTCCTAGCTCCACGACTTGGGAGGCTCCTCAACCTCCCTGACCTCCATTTCCTCATCTTTTTTTAAATCCTCACCTGAGGTTATGCTTTACTGATTTGTTTTGTTTTGAGAGGGAGAGAGGGGTAGGGAGAGAGAGAAGACATCAACCAGCTGCCTCCCATACATGCCCCCACTGGACAATGGAACCTGAAAGCCAGGCATGTGCTCTGACTGGGATTTGAACCCATGACCTTCTGGTGCACAGGACGACGCCCAACCAACAGAGCCACACTGGCCAGGGCATCCATTTCCTCATCTTTAAAACGGGAGGGGTGAGAGCATGGCTCACTGGCTGTGTGACGGTGCAGGGAATGGCCCCCAGGAAGCACGAGGACAGGCCATGGTGGGCACCCAACAAAGGCCGGTGACCTCTGGGCAGGACCCCACGTGCTGCAGGACACACCAGGCCTCCCCCGGCTCCCAACACAAGAGCTCTGGGTGGGTCCTCCTCCCGCACCTTGGAGGGCTAATGACCCGTGGAGCCGCCCAGGCCCTGGTGTAGAGGAGGCCGCCTCAGGGCAGTCACGACTCACCCTCCAGTGAACCACGGAAGGATGCAGCACAACTTGTCTGGCCACGCATGCCACCGAGCATGCCCCTGCTCTGGGCAGCAGGACTAAGCAGGTGGCCACCACCTCCACCAGGAGAGCCTGCGCCGGCTCTGGCTGACATCAGTGCCAGTTTATGCCCCGTCCTCGAAGGGGTAGGATGGTGGCACAGAGGTGACACCCTTCAGAGGTACAGGCCCTGTCCACCAGCTGTCACACAACCACCCCTAGGCCAGCCTCCACCTCAGGCAAGTATCCAGCTGGGTGTAGGGTAGGAGACAGGAAGTGAGAGGACAGTATAGATCCAGACCAGCCTGAGCCTGCAGCCGGCGTCCAGGAGGCAGGGAGAAGGAAAGAGGAGGCACTCATGCTCCTGGGGATGGAGAGGGCCTGGAGCAAGCTCCACTTGATGCCCGCAGCCCCACCTGATGCCCGCAGCCCCACTGCTTTGAGCTGTCAGGCCTCAAGCTGGATGCCTGGCTCCCTGGCCTCAGGGTACCCGTGTGAACAGTGCAGTGACTGATGCTATGTCCCTTCTCCTAGTGCTTTCTGGGGACTCAGGAGGACAAGGGTGTGTGATCATGTGATTCAGGGACACTGAGGGTCGGGTGAGGCCTGGGGCTTCAGGGGCCACTGCCCACCCCCACCTACCCCACCCACCAGGCTCCTCAGGGAGGTCTAGCCAGGGGCTGCACAGGGACTCAGCATCAAGCAGAGGCTCCAAGGTGTTTGGGACCCTGAAGGCCATGGCACCATCAGACAGAGCCCTCCCTGGGGCCCTTACATGATCATCGCACCCAGTCTGTCTGGCCCTTGCACGCCCTCACCTTGGCCCATCATGTGCAGCGGGTGCTAAGGGCCTCTGCTCATCTTTGAGGCCAGGGAGGCTGGGGCCTGGAGGCAGGCAGCCAGGCTCTGCGCCTCCACCAGGTGCCACGCCCTTTCTCTCCCCACAGGAGGAGCTGAAGCCACCTGCCCCGCCCCAGGAGGATGAGGCAGTCACAGAGGAAGCGGTAGAGGAGGTAGGAGCTGGGCCACTGAGCTACACCTGGGGCCCTGGGCAGGGACCCCCATCTCTCACAGGCTCACTGCTTCCCCCCCCTGGGGTATCAGAGCCCTCAGGGCAGAGGGGTAGAGATGACTCCTGTCCCTGCCCCTCAGGGCTGTGTGAAGGTCACTCTCTCTCTCCTAGGCCAAGAGTTGGGGAGACTAGAGGGCTACAAGTCCACTGCAGAGGCCGAGAGCAACCCCCTCTGCGTGGAGCCCATCCCCTCCGGCC